CGGGTGGGCCCGGCAGTGTGGGCCCGGGCCTGGGCGCCCGCGGTCGGGGCTCCCGCCCCACGGAGGGGCTACGGCTCTGAAGTGAAGAGCGAGGACGAGCTGCGGGTGCGGCAGCTGGACGAGGAGAACCGCGGTGAGCGGCGGATGCGGCGGTCTGGGGCTGCAGCCCGAGATTGCATCCGGGCCGCGCGCACCTGCCCGGAGCCGCGCTCCAAGGTCGCTCCGGGCGGCGCGGGCCCGGCCGTGGGGTTGTAGACGCTGCAGGGAGGATGCCCTTTCCTTCTGAGAGCCTGGCCTCCGAGGCAGTTTTTCCTCGGAGGAAAAACTGTCCATTTTATTTTAGAAAGTTAGTTTTGTTTTACTTGAGTTAAGTGATTCTGAGCAATGTTTGTCTTGCTGAGGTCTGGGGGCAGATAGAGTGGATGAGGCTGATTTTGCCCTTGGGCGGCCTGTGTCGGGGGAGGCAGGTGCCCGGGCAGGACGATGCGGAGTGCGAGGCCGTGACCCAGGGTGAGCAGCAGAGCGAACACCGACGAGGAGGCTTGGTTCCTTTCGCTCGCAGTGCAGGGAAGAGCTGAAGGGGTCGCGAAGGGTGGAACAGCGCATTGTTCAGGTTAGACCAGAGGACCAGGCGCTTAATTTTGACATGCATTTATTGAACACCTGTAACCCGTTAAGCAGAAGTGAAAAACGAGTACTGTACGTCAAGATTTTTAAGGGGCACTTGGAAGTATAGTGAACAAGACCTGGAGATGCTAACTTTAAAGGGCTAGCGAAAGCAGAGAGCTCTTCGAGGGTTTGGCAGGTGAGAGGGATTCCAAAGCAGTGTTTAACAGGCAGTGGATAGTGAGGGTTCCTGGGCAAATTTCTCTGTATTTCAGCTATCTTGTGAGTAAAATAGGAAAAATAATATCAACTTTGTAAGGTTGTGTGATGATTGATGAGATTGTTACGTGCCCGCTAAACATCTAGCCCATAGTAGGTGCTCAGCAGTGTGAAGTTATTTTATTTATTGTTGTTTATTCCAGTCAGAAACAAAGGAATGGTCAAAGTGATGGAGATGTGGACATGTGTGTCTGGTATATACTATAAGGCACGTGTGGCTGTAGAGTGGCCTGCAGAACCGTATGAAACTCAGCTGAAAGGTTAGAGGGTCTTGGAGCCATAGTGCCACAGTCCTGGTGAGCATAGCTGTGCTGGATTTCAGTTGCGTTAGATGTATCAACCTATGTTAGATGCAGAGGGATTACAAGAACGGCTAGTCATATGTATTGATTCTGCATGTTTGAATGAATGCAAATCCAAAGTAAATTTGCACAAAATGCCTGGAAAAGTTAGCATCTAAGTGGACCAAAAGAGAAAATAACAGAACATAGAAGGTGATAATTTCAGATGTTTTTAGCTTATCTGAAACATCACTGTCAGCTATTAGGATGGTTTCTTAAACCCAGAAAATGAACATAGCCTACTTTGAGGATTGCCAAGAGTGACTATGCAGGCTTGCCTACTGTTACTTATACTTTGCTTTGCTTTATCACTGAACAGACAATAAGTAGTACAAAGAAAAATGTGAGGTTGCAGATGTTACAGGTGCAAAAATCTCCCGGTGCCTGTTTCTCATAGAGGCAAGTGCAAAATTTGGTCTTTTCAGCAGCCTGTAAGAAATACGAGAGCTCTCCTGTGCCAGAGATGCTCCTAAACTAGACCTGCAGCCCTTGAGGTGGACAGGAGTGGGTGGGCACAGAGCATAGTTGGTTGCTTCTGCTGTCTCAGTTCCATAGCCTTGTGTTTTAGGTGATGATTTCTTTCATCACTGTCCATTCTACACCGTTTTAGAGCAGGAGTGCTGGTCATGGCTTGAAGAGATCTCTTTTCACTATTTTCGTAGGTCTCTTGGCCTCCAGTCATTCTCCTTCCCAGTTTATTCCTTACATGATTGCTGCAGTTGTCTCTCTGAAGCCTAAGAATCATTGTTTGCTCAATTAAAAATCCATAATGGATCTCCATTACCTGCAAAGCCTTCTCAACCATTACACCTGACAAGTCCATTTCTCTGCCAATAAACCTAGGCTTTGCCTTTCCCTGCTCTTTTTTTTGTGTGTGTCTGGGCTATAGCACACACCTCCTGGGGTAACCCTTCCCTTTTCTCTGCCGGCCTGCCTTCCCCTACCATGGTGAGCTTCTACTGTAATAGTGAGCTATTTCAAAGATCATCTTTGCAAACCTTCTGGCAGAAATAGAGCAAACAGATGCATAGTGCAGAATCATTATTGATCCCTGCCTCCACATGCAGCACATTTAGGACGTGATCCTGTCTTCCCAGGTGTGTGGGAGAGCTTTCCATGTTCTCTATCTATGCCATTCTTCCCCATGCCAGTGGACTGCTGCAGCAGTCAGTGGTAGGTCTTTTTTCATGCTCTAAAAAATGCATTTACATATATTTTATCGTTATGTGACTTACATCTTAGTAAAGGTAGATACTGAGATATATGTACATATTTTCTACTGTGAGATATAATTCATATATTATAATGTGGAGATTTCACAATGTATTGTTGCTATATTTCATTCATAAAGTTGCATGGTAGCTATCAGCACAGTCTCGTCTTTATGCTGTGGCTTCCCATTCACCCCCTCCCCAGCTCTAAAAGAGTTTACTTACTTTCTCAATGGTTTGTCTACTCTAATGAAGTCTGTTCTTAAATCTTTTATTTTTTTTTTTGATCTATTGTAAGTGGAATTTTTCTTAACTTCATTTTCATATTGTTCATTGCTAATACATAGAAATACAGTTGATTTTTGTACAGTACATGTACAACTTTGATGAACTCTTGTTCTAATAGTGCTTTGTGGATTTCTTACTGCTTTAATTTGCAAATAAGGTAATTTTACTCCTTTTTCAATGTGGATATCTTTTAGTTCTTTTTCTTGCAATTTACATGCCTGGAGCCTTTACAGCAGTGCCTAAAATAATGAAAGCAGGGAGAGCATTCAGAGTTCATCTTTCAGTGTGATGTTAGTAATTTTTTGTTTTGTAGATGTGCTTTATCTGTTGAGGGCACTTCCTTAAATTTGTAGTTTGCTGAGTGTTTTTATCATGTTGAATGTTGTCAGATATTTTTCTGAGTCTGTTGGGGTAATCATGGTTTTATTTGTTGATATGATGGATTGTGTTAAATGATTTTGAAATGTTGACCTATACTTGCACAGTTGGAGTAAACCCCACTTGTTTGTGGTGTAAATTTATTTTACATATGGTTGGATTTTATTTGCTTGTATTTTGAGAATTTTTGCATCTATGTTTATGAAACATACCGATTTTAAATGTCTGATTTTAGAATAAGGTATGCTAACCTCATAGAATGAGGTAGGATGTTTGCCTTCTGCTTTTATTTTCTAGAGGAGATTGTAGAGAAATGATATGATTTTGTTGGTATTTTGGAGGAACTGGTGAAACTATGTGGATGATGCTTTGTGTTGGAAGCTTTTAAACTATGTCTGAGCTCAGGCTGGTCTTGAACCTGCAGTCCTCCTGTTTCAGCTTCCCAGGTGCTGAGTTTACAGGTGTGTGCACCATCATGCACCATCATGCACATCGTGAAAATATTTGTCCTCATGGTAGAATTAAAAAATATATTAGAGAAATGTGCCATGCTTTCACTTTCTGGCTTTATCCAAAATTAAAGATGTTAAATATCTCTTGAATTCTTTCTTTGGATAATTTTATTTACTTTCCTATGCCTGTGAGGCTCTCCAACTTCGCTGAGGTTAGGATTTTGAAGGGTAGTGAGGAGGTGAAGAAATGAAGACAAAATATAGAAAGCTGGGATCAGGTGTAGCCTTCCTCTGGATGAGAGGAAAGGAACTATTCAACCACTATAGTGTGTTTATTTATACATTTGGCAGGTTGGTGTCACCTGACACCCCTTTGCCTAGCAACTCATTGGTTTGATATTCTCGGGTGCCTGGTGTTCTCTGGACTGGAGCAACTTATTTATTGGCTTGCCTTGGGTGCTCTTTGTTCTTGGAACTGGCCTTGCTCCAGACCCACATGTGTGGTCAGTCTCCAGCTTCAGCTGCTCACTACATTCACTGTCTCCCCAAATTTATGTTATCTGCATTATTTTTATAAACAATATCTGGACTTCTCATATAAGATGAGAGAAAATTTGCAGTCCTAGTTTGTCTTTGCCTTCCAGTTTCTGGCCTCTATAGCATTACTTTATGTAATCAAAATTGATGATAGTAGGATTGTTCTTATCATAGTTGTTAAATGCTTTATCTATAAATTGACTGTAAAACACGCACATAGTATCATTAATAGCCCCTGTGTAGACACTGCTTTTGCTAAGTCTCTGCAATCAGTCTGCATTGCCATCACTACCATATGATATCCTGTCTTCTTGCAGGCCTCTGTGGTGCCACCTCCTTGGTCTCTCCAAGTATGCTTCCCCCATCTTTTTTTATAAATTAATATGAAATTCACAGAACATGAAATTTACCATTTTAAGCTTTGTAAGTGTATAATTTAGTATTTTTTAGTTCATCCACTGTGTTGTACAACCACTACTATAACCTAATTCCAGAATACTTTTGTTTCATCTACAAAATCTCCAGAGTAAACCTCTTTATTTCTCTTCTTCCCTTCCCTTTTCCCTCAGCCTCTGTTTATTTGTTTGGTTTTGTTTTTCTTCCGGTACCAGGAATTGAACTCACGACCTTGCGCTTGCCAGGCAGGCACTTTGCTGCTGAGCTAAATCCCCAGCCCCTCCCTCAGCCTCTGGAAACTATGAATATCCTTGTTAGGTATTTCATAGACATAGAATGATGGATGCTTTTCTTTTTCCTAGAAATGTGAGGTTTAACATGTTTATTTGAGCTCACTCTATTTTTCTAATGTGCGAATTGATTGCTATAAATTTCCCTTGTAGGACTGCTTTCATTAAGTTCTGGTATGTTATATTGGCATTACTGTTTAATTTTAGCAACTGTCAAATTTCTTCTTTAATTTCATCTGTGACCCACTGATTGTTCAGGAAGATGTTATTTAATTTCCATGTGTTTGTGTAGTTTTTATGGTTTCTTTTGCCATTGACTTCCAGTTTCATTGCAGTGTAGCCTGATAATATACAT